GGGCAGAGGGAATAGCTCCTTACCATCTCTTTCTGTACTGAGCAAAGATTTATGACCCATTTGTAATGATCTCTTCACACAGTGAAATACACAAGTTGCCAATCCCCCATAACTTCAGAGTTCTTTCTGTATTGTTTCCTTGTTTGCAAAAGATATTCCGCTTTCCTTGCAGTACTGTTTGCTCTGACGTAAACCTTTACAGTGCAGCGGTTTGCAAGGTGAGCTGGCAGAGATCAAAGCTACCCCAGGAGGGCTGATCCCTTTGCTGTGGGGAGAGACTGATGGAAATTTGGGAGTGTGAGCAGGTGCTATCCCCAGCCTGTACTGCACACAGAGTAGAAGCAAGTTCATCTTCATGGATCTAGGCTCTTGAACTGACCTATGCAATCGTATCAGGTGTATCTGGTCTCCCTAGGCTTGCCTGCTCCAGCCAAAATGGTGGAGTAGCAAGTGCAGTTACCCAAATTTGCTTGACTGGCACTTTTCATGTAGAAAAAATGAAGTGGAATTTGGCTAGTGGCACTTGGGTTAGGGCATCTTCAGAGGGAAGATTTCACTCCTGAAGAATAGCCACCGCGTCCTGCAACACTTCACATCTGCTGGGGCAGTCTTCTAGCTAAGTGTTGACCGCCCCCCAAATGTGCTCATGTTATGAGATCTCGCAAGATCATGATCCACAGTTGTCAGGTAATGGGCAGTTTTCCCCAAGCCAGTGCTTCATTTTGTTGTTTCCCCTGCAGTGCGCAGCATACATTACTTTTCTGTTGACCCTTGGTCCCAACACATGATAACCAACACTGTTTTTTATTTTTTTATTTTTTTAAGCCTGCAACTCTTTTTCTGATGTACCATTAATCTCTCATGCTCTTGTTTTCAACAGGAGTCTCCCCAGGACAGTGCTATCACTCGAGACATCAATCGCACGTTCCCAGCTCATGATTACTTTAAGGATACTGGGGGAGATGGCCAGGACTCCTTGTACAAAATATGCAAGGTATTTCACAGCTTCATGAGCAGCAATCTTTGATCAAGATACTTTGTGGATTAACAGTACTTAAAGAGAACATCTCTCCATGGTTGGATTTAAATTTGTTGTGTTGGGTTATTGCTTAGTCTTTCTATAAGCACTGTTGAATCAAAAAGTGGTTGTGGTCTGAGGGTTGTCCTAGCTTCTATGAAATAACCTGGTTGTAGTCCTGACACCAAAACCACTATTGCATTGGGTATTAGTGTCCTTGGTGGCCAGCATACAGGTAAGACTGGACAAAGAGAGAAACTGTTTGCCTAGCACTATGCCAACCGAGGGATGCAATGCTTTGTGTGGCCAGGGGCCTGTGCTTCAACGAGAAGCAGTGACCAAGAATCTGAGATGAACTCACTGAGTTGACAGCTTTGCATTTTTTTCTTTTCTTTTTCCCATGCTAAAATTATTGGAGTTTTCTGTTTCTTTTGAGATGCATAAGAATAAGTCAATCACCAGTTCACTTCTTACAATGGACAGTTTCTGCTGAAGAAAGGAATGTGAAGGCTAGGGGTTGAACAGAGCTGCTTAAAGTAAAGCTTAGGATGCATCAATCTAGGGAGGTCCAGTACAAAAAGAGCAAAGGAGCTACTGGCCAGGTCTAAGGTGCATGAGATGAGGCAGCATCTGGTCAGTGCTTGTTAGACCTGTACTTTTATAAGAGAAATATGTGTGATCTGAGCAGTTAATAGCACGCTGAAGGAAAGAAAGCTGCAGGTGAAAAATAAATGTCTGATTTGGTGATGAAAATCTAGTTTTTGTTCCTCACAAAAATGTTTAGGTTTCCCTAAACATGTAAACGCTGCAGATATTTTTGCCCAGTATAGGTATTGTATTTTTGCTGTTGTTTGATCAAAGGCATGTGTAGGTGACCATTTTCTGTCCATCACATCTACAAATTAAAGACAACCGTGAAGATGCTAAGTTAAAACGTATTGTTGGAATACAGTTAATGATCTTGTGGAACTTTGATATAAGTTAGCTAGTCTGACAGAAAGCAAAGGTCTAGGAAAGGACCTAGGTGTCTGTAAAGCTGAAGATAATTATGCATCCCTCATTAGCATTATAAAGCAACAGGCACACATTTAAGTCGCTGATTAAAATGCAGAAGATAATTAGCAGGTAAAAATGACTGTTTTCTGTTTGATCCAATTACTTCATTTGACTAGAGTGTCTCAAGCTTCCAGCACTTTGATTCTGCATTTAGAAACCCTTCATGTGTTCTACCCCTCGGGAGACAGTTTTTGTATGCTGAAGCTCAGACTCCTGGCACATCAATTCCTTCCTTTATAATATTGTTTAAATATGATGAGGTTTTCACAGGGGACAGTCCTAGGCAGAGGGGAACGTCTCTGCATTTCATTAGTATTGAAATCAAGACTTGGTAACCAATTAAAAGGTTTTCTCTGCCATGGAATTCCTGCTTGAACATGGTAATTAGAAATAGCACCCAAAATCTCAAATTTCCTTAAAGAGATGCTTTGTAAACATCATTCTTTTAATTATACCAATCTGAGCTTAATGGCTTATCTGCTCCGTTTCACAACTGTATATCCCAGAGAGTTCTGCCCAAGACTGAGGTTAAGAACAGGAGTGAAACCTTTCACAACTTTTCCCTGATGTCAGGGTTGTTATTAAATTCCTCTTTGTTCCCTTATTGCTCTCTGGGCTTTTAATGTGGTTTTTATCTTGTAAGCAGCTTGAAGTGATTGTCTCTCTAACATGCTCTTCAGTCATGTACCCTTCATCATCTCTTCTCAGCCAAAGTCTGTTTGATGACTGGCTTTCTATCCATGTTAAAGCCCAGCTGGGCTGTGTACAGAATATTGGCAGCTGTTTCTGTGGCTCTTCTTTTTCAAGTGGGGTTTCAGATGTGTCCTTGAGTCAGCTGGCAGCTCTGTTTTACATGGGCTGGCTGAGCATGTTGCTCTGGTATCTATCTTGTGCAAGAGGAGTCCCTGCTACTGTTTTAGAACGTAGGCAGACAAGGTTCATCAGGTAAATGTGATATCTTTTATTAGATCAGCTTTAGAACGTAAGCATCTTATAGTACAGTACAGGAGAGGTAAAACAGGATTGATTGTAGTCTGTTCCATTTAAAAAGGGGCTTCTCCCCTTCCCTCTATCTCACCAAAGGGTGTAAATAGGCAAAATTACTGAACAGCTGAACACGCAGTTGTGGGGAAACTGCTGCATATGATTTTTAATTGGCAAATTAAAGTCCGTCTCTGTACCAAGGAATATAAAATGAGTCTTGTTGAAAACGTTACTGGAATGGGGGCTCTATAGATGCTGACATGGAATGTAAGAATAAGTGTGACTAAATAGCTGAAAAGAGTCCAGCACCCAGTAACCACCCTGGTCTCTGCATTACCACTGATCGTTTTGAAGGCCACAATTTGGTTTTTGGTTAATCTCTGGGCAGCTAAACCTCCTTCTGCAAGGCCAGTTGAGTCATGACTAACGGCTTGTCAGCCCCTTGGCACTGCTGAATAGAGCGATCAGCTGTGTCCTCATACAGTTCTGGTCTAGGGAAAGCGCTCGTTTTAAACTCCCTATTCTTTTTTTCAGGCCTATTCTGTCTATGATGAAGAGATTGGCTATTGTCAAGGCCAGTCATTTCTTGCTGCTGTGCTGCTTCTGCATGTAAGTTTTTTTTTTTTGTTTTTTTTGTTTTTTTTTTTTTCCCTTTCCTACTTGCTTTAATCCTGAGACAAAAGTAGTGCTTATGTTTCTCCAGAACTAACTTCGAATGAACTCAGGCTTCTGGTATAGTGAACTGCATGTTTTGTTACTTAAATGCTTAATTGTCAATAATTCTGACATTAGAGGAAAGACGAGCTTGTTCTGTTTCAATTGTAGTGCAGCCTTGACAATGGATTTATGGTTGGCGCTCTCTTCTTTTTGGTTCTACTAGGTTCTCTCCAGCTCCCAACTATCTTAGGGTAAAAACAGATGTTACCGTCCATCACTGTTTGTGCTGCCACAAAAACTGTTACGGAGGCACAAAGTGACAGCAAATAGACATCCATACTTTGTGTTGTGCCACGGGGTGGCTATGATAAGTGGCAATAATTAAATGTGCCTCTTCATTGCCACATATGACTGCTTTATGGTGGGGGAGTGTAGGCTGTCTGCACTGTCCAACCACCCCAGCAAGGAGTCCCCTGGCCTTGAGGACCCCAGTCCTGTGCGCCTTGTGAATTCCGGTGCAGGACTGGGCCCCTCAAACCTGGGGAGAGCCAATTAGCTGATTTGGCAGCCCTAGCCCTGGGGCCACATGCTGCATACTGGGCCCCACGGCCGCATGCTGCCCTAGAGTGCCCAGCTTTCCCTGCGTCCAGAGATGTCCCTGGGATCACCCTGGCTCATCTTGGGAAACAGGGAAAGTCAGGGTTTCCTGCTTCCAGAGATTCATCCCTGGTAATCTTCGGAGACCTTGGAGATTGCCGGGGCGCATCTCTGCAAGGAGGAAACACGTCTCCTGTTGTCCCCACAAGTTCAATAGGCAGGACAACAGGCAATGTGCATTTCAAAATGGATCATCTGTGCCAGGACATATCTTGGCACAGCTGACCTACTTCATTGAGCAATATCTATTTCTAGTCCTAGTTTAATTTAAATGAGTTAACCAAAAGCAGCTTACTTAAGTTTACCTAGGTACAAGTGACCCTGGAATTTGAGGGAGGCCATCTACAGGAACTCCCTGCAAAGCCTCCTGTTGGGCATCTCAGACTAAATTTTAAGCTTTTTAGAACAGTTTTTTTTTTAATTTGTTTACTGAAAGTGTACGCAGATTTTGCTAGAGGTCTTAGATTCAACAGAGGATGTTTTGCAGCATGTTGGTAGAATGTGAGCTCATTACGTCGTAGTGGCTTGAATATCGCAGTGTCCTCCTTTAGATGCTTTGTGTTTTGTGGTTTTAGATGTTAGAGAATAATCAAAGGTGGAAATAGATTTGGATTTTAAAAGATCTTAAATGTGTGCTTTAGTTGCTAGTTACATTTGTGCTCAGGGTAGTAACTTCCTACTAATCACCTTGGCACCTATGGAAGATGCTCTCTGCTTCATGCTTACTGTGAATTTAGGTAGAAGGTTTTGAAGTTTGCTCCTGGTTGGAAAACACCTGTGAAAATTACACATTTTGGCAGCACCCAGTTATTTTTATCCAGTCTTGTTAATGCCTCCTGCTTCTTCATCAAGAGTTTGGTTGGTTGGTTTTTGGGTTGGTTTTTTTGGTGCACTGCTAGCAGAAACTGAGCAGAGTTCTGAAGCCCAGTAGGATTTTGTGATTTCCACCCCCCCACCCCCCCAGGCAGCTGTGAGTGAGTGCTGCTGCCTTGCAGAACTAAATTTAAGACATCTGTGCATCTGTCAAACTGGTTTTCAGAGAATTGTTTTCCTAATGTGTTGTGAATCTATGGCAATTATAGAAAGATATTGAAAACTACTCTCTCTAAATGAAAGTCTAATGGGCTGATAGTATCTAACCAGTACTTTTGGTTCTGTGTAATCTGTCAGCAGAACCACATAACTGATGGGGAGAATAATTCTGCAACTATCTTCTAATCTAAACCAAACCAGGAATAGCTGGTTGATAGATAGATATATATTTCCCTTTCCTTCTTTCACGAGTAGTTGAACCAAACTTTTCTTACTAACAGATGTCTGTCTCTCTCTCTCTCTGGTGCTAATTGCCAGCTGTCCATTCTTTTGGCTCCCATTTGAGTAGAGGCTCTCAGACCCAAGAACAAACCATTCATCACTTTTGTAGCACTTACTCTTTAATGATAATTGTTGCTTTTGAGAACCAAGGGTGCAAATTGCATTCCAGTGTTTGCTGCTTGTTTTTCATTTTGGTCCTCATTAGAGTCAGTCTTTAGAGTGTGACTCTGAGGTGCTGTGATAAGAGTTCTAGGCTGTGTTGTCTTGGATGAAACACTGGTGTGCAGTCCCTGTGTAATAAGAGGTAATGTTACAGCAGAGGAGGTCTAGTTTCTGCAAGTCCCTCGCTACCAGTACTGGAGTGTTTCTGGAATTTTTTAGTTTACAGGCTTCATCTGTGGATAATAGAGCACATGTTAGATGTTCTGGCCTTTACGTGAAGCAGTGATTGATCTAAGGCATCTGTCTCTGCTGCCGTGGAGAGATCAGAACTGATCTGTGGCACCAAGGAAAGATGTACGTGTATTGACAAGCCATGATGTTTCTGTCTTCAGCTGCTGACAGGAGAGGGAGAGGAAAGTGTCTGTCCCAAACTGATGCAGAGACCTGACAAAGCTGAACTCTGGGTAGTAATAACTGACCTCTCTTTGCAACGGTCTGAGCAAATCAACATTTAATAATGGTATTTTAAAAAGCAAACTTAAAAAATGTTATTGTTCATCATTTTGCAGTAATTCTGCAAAAATATTTGCATCTTACCTGTGGTAGCTGATTATGCTTGGGAAGTGACTGAAGTATATTGAGAAATGGTAGAATTCGGGTTTGGTTTTGAAGCTGTCGGCCTCATTAGGGATAACAGCAGCAGGATACAGAAATACTGTACCACTCAATGGTTGAAAAGTGTGTTTCTAGTTGGAAATGTAAGTTTTGCAGAATTATGAGGGATTTGTCTTACTTTATAGGCATGAAATACTGTCTCACTTCAGTTGTGATGGTACTTGTTCATCTTTTTATCTACTATTAAAAAATCTGACCCCATGTGTTTTAAAGGGAATTAGGTGACTAGATCCTTGCACAGATCTGACTTGGTGTTTTGAGAGTAACAGCAACCCAAAGGAAGGAAATAGATAATACTTGTTTTAACATGTTGACACTTTTTTGTCCTATCCGACAGATGCCTGAAGAACAGGCTTTTAGTGTTCTGGTCAAAATCATGTTTGATTATGGACTCAGGGAACTTTTCAAACAAAACTTTGAAGACTTGCACTGCAAATTTTACCAGCTGGAGCGCCTCATGCAGGTAAGCACCCCGGTGACCTCTGGGGAGACGGGTCAAGGTTTACCAAACTAGAGATAGCTTTAATGGCTTGGGAGCGAGATTTTGCTCATGCAGGTGAACAGTTTTCAAACACTAGTATTACACCTGTTGTTGAGGTAGAGGGCAACCAGGCATCAGTATGGTTTCAGAGGAGAAATTTCTTTTAGCATAATTATTTCACTTGCTCCTTCTAGGATATAGTAGGCCAAACTTACATCTTGTATTGTGCCAGGCTCTCGCAACTCTGAGAACTGTAAGCATGCTGTTCAACTCTGCTTTTAATCCAAACTTAACACATGTGCTGTTTTTTAGGAGTATATTCCTGACCTGTACAACCACTTTCTGGACATCAGTCTTGAAGCCCACATGTATGCTTCCCAGTGGTTTCTTACCCTTTTCACTGCAAAATTCCCTCTATACATGGTCTTCCATATTATCGACTTGCTGTTATGTGAGGTACGTCACGTACAACTGTCCAGCTTTGTACACACTCTCTGTACCAAGTGTAACTTACAGTCTGTATTTGATCTATGAAAGCTGGACAACTGACACTTCAAATATAACTTCCAATAGAAAAATGTAAGCAATGACATAAAAGGCATCTCTGCCTTGTAAGTGTTTTTCAGCATTTTTAAGACGTTACATCATTGGATTATGGGTTTCTTTTTTCAGATTATTACTACTTATTCTTAGTAGAGTACTATGTGATCTCTATAATTCCATGCATTAGTTACAGGGCACAGAGGGTTGATCTTGTGATATCTTACATAAAGGACTGTTGTTACCATGGATCATATGATTGTGTTCCTAGATTTTTAGATCTAGCATTTAACAACAACAAAAAAGTTTTCATACCTATATACAACGTACAGTTTAAGATGTCCTAGAGCACTGACAACTGCTGCATTTAGTTCTTCCTAATTCTCATGTGGGTATCTTGACAGCCCTGTTAACTCTGTCCCCCTCAAAAGCTGAATTGTCTCATTCGGCTGCTTAGTGTGTATTTTGAGGCAAAATTCTTTTATACTGAGATAATGTATTAGTCCTTAGTCTTTTTTTTATATAGCATTGTACTGAGCAGTATTCTGGGAAATAATATACACTGAGTCTAAACTATGTATGTCAACATAAGTGTATGGCATACATTTTGCAGTGCAGTGTGCCTGGGGATATTCTTTTTTTTTTTTTTTTCTGCTTGCTTTCTGATTGCCAGAAAGCACTGATTTTTTTTTTTTTAATTTTTTTGGTGCATCTCCCAGATATTTGCATGAAGTAGCAAGGTGCTGCAGCAGTTGTGTCATCTAAAGGTTGCAGCACTTGTAAATCTTCTGGTCATTGTGTTGCTCTTCACCTGGTGGTGTTGCTCAGGAGCCTGCTGCTTGCTTTGCTTACACACCAGTGTAATAAAAAGCAACAGATGGCATCTGCCAAATCAGCGCCGTTTGTTTAGAAACACACACACACACATGCCCAAAAATTATTAAACAAGTCATATAAAAGGGTTTTATTGTAGTTTTAAAGGAGTAAAACAGGTGACAGTAGTACAGCCAAAACAGGAAAATGCAGCATTCACATTCTGAGCATTTCCTTGTGTCCTGGTTGCGTTTGTAATGATGCCATGTTTGGAAGGCATGTTCCAGTGTTGAGAAGGGGGGCTGTCATAATCAAGCATTTTTAAGAAAACCTTTACTCTCAGAAATGAAGTGCAACAGGGAAGTTAGCATGCGATTCCCAAGTCAGTCACCCTTTCTCCATACTGGGTGCTTCCTAAATTTTATGCTGAGTTCATTTAATACCAGTTTCAGAATCCCACTGTTGCAGCATTATTGATGTAGTTGCTCTTAGAAGCCATAGCAGCAGATCTGGTCTTAATTTGTTGCTGTTAAAAACAAAATCCAAAGGGATCAAGGATGGAGAAAAAACCAAGCCCTACCCAGTAGTATCAGTGGAGCTCTGAAAGATATGGATGCAGAAGGGACATGTAGCTGCCAGATCCTCTTGCATTGATCTGTGAGTCCATTTTACATAATCTTGGTGAATAAAAGAGAATCTGTAAATGATCTAGTATTAAGCACTGAAGTAGGAAGGACAGCTTGAAATTTTGTGTGTGCATTTATATTGTTGGCCAGAATTTTCCATCATGCATAATTTAGAAAATGAAAATTTCAACTGTTACTATGTGAAGTCCCTTGAGGAGGCTGCAGGCATTTAGCAGGTTTCAGGGTGGGGAATCTTTCTGATCTTTAATGCTTCTGCCCTTGTCTGACTTTCTTTCCGACCGCCTGCAAAAATTTTATCTTTATCTAAAGATGTAAATTTATCTTTTTCATAGACTGGTATCTGAAAAACTTCTGTGCCCCTTGGGATTAAATATCTCAATGAGCAGCTTTAATGGAAGAGGAAGGGCTTTCCTTTTTGATTCATTCTGATTTGCTTATAGGTCATAAGCTATTTGTTATGTCAGAGCAGATCCTAACACCTGGGGAGGATTTAGCAGTTGCCTTTTCATCTCTGGTGTTTGACTTCAAAAGTTTATTTGTTGTAGTAGGAAAAAGGGCAGCCGATGTTGATGTTGTCTCTTCTTTTCTATGAACATGAAATGTTTTATATGCAGGTTATCAGTGGAGTGAGTAATTCAAGGTCAGGCAGAAAACACATATCTATTTAAATAAACCAAAGCAATCATTAGTTTCTGCATTTTGAATCCAGCCTTTTCAGGAAGTCGGTATATTGAAATGTTAAGCAGCCTTCCCTCTGTGGGCAGAAGAGAACTCAAGTGCCTTGCTGTGTAGACTGCAGATAGTGATGATAGATTTCCATTAGAGATTGGAAATCTTCCCTTTTTGTATCCTATCAGCCAGCTGGTTTGATACTGATAGCGGATAAGAGGAGCTGTTGGTTGGCCCTGAGCACCTTTTTTAATCTTTATCATTGGATGCTAGGATTGTAGCAGTGCTATTTTGCTACTGAGTTGTGTAGTGATGGAAGAACACAATTCCTGACAGGTAGCCAAATCCATTCTTCAGAAAACAGAAAAGGGAAGGGGAGTGCCATGTGGTTATTCCAGGCACCATGTCAAGTTGGACCTGATATGTGAAATGAGGTCTGGTTTCTTGCACACCCTGGCACAACAGGCTTAAAATGCATCGGCAACTTCACCTAAATTTAAAAAAGAAATTTCTCACTGAATTTAATATATTATCTTCACACGTTCACTCCTGGGGTGCTTACAGGGTTTTGTACTGAGGTTGTGCCTTTCATGGGTTGGCAGCAGAAAGCTGTCTTCTCTTCCCTTTTTAGCCTATTTTTCTGGGTATATTTTAGGCAAGTGAAAGACACTGCACCTCTCATGTGACTTGTGACCCTTTTAGCCAGGGACCCTGCCTGCAGCAGCACAGAATATAGTACGTGTGACGTAGTACCGCATTTGCTTAGGATAGTAAGCCAGCTGCCTGCCAGCTAATTAACTACAGCAGCTTTTGGAGGGTCCTGTGGCTATGTTGCTGATAACTGCTGTTTTGTGTTGTTAAATGCATGGGTCCTACTGTGAGCTCCCCCAGTCCAGTTAGATAGTTTTCATAAAATAATCTTTATTTAGTATTACATTGAAAATAAATAAAATGGAAGTTTGGAGCAACGCTTTTCTCCAGCAGGCCACAAGTGGTTGGAGGCTATCTTGATACACCTCCTGCTGTTCTCTGCAGAGTGTCAAGCACCAAGGAGTCATGTCTTGTTGTGGGTAGGCTTCTTCTTTGGGTCTCTGAAGCTTCTGGATCCGTTTTTATGCTGGAACAAATAAAAAAAAAAAATTGATATGGTGTGGGAAGAAACTTAAGCTTGTAAATATTGATTTCCTTTTTTTTTTTCTTATTCTGTCTCTTCAGGGTATAAGTGTTATTTTTAATGTTGCACTGGGATTATTAAAAGTGAGTATCCACTTGAATGTTTTTCATTTCATATATCATTATGTGCTGCCTTGACAATTAGACTGCCTGTTACACAAATGTTCTAAATAACTCTTCCTGTGTCTCGCTCATGGCTGACTAGTGTGATTTGCTGCTGGGCTGGGTCACATGTGGAAAAGAAGTTGTATTGTGCGAGTGAAAATAAAAAATTGCTTGCAGAAAGTTATAAGATACTTTCCTGGGAGCTTGGCAGAATAGCTGTTGTTTGATCTGTCTCTGGAGTGGTTTCACAGAATCTGCTTTGCAAATATTTTTTTGTCTGTATCTTTTTAGACTACCAAGGATGATCTATTACTGACTGACTTCGAAGGAGCTTTGAAGTTCTTCCGTGTACAGCTGCCCAAGAGGTACCGCTCAGAGGAAAATGCAAAAAAGCTGATGGAGTTGGCATGCAATATGAAGGTAACTATGAAGATAGCAAGGAATTCTTCGTGGAAATGTCTTTGTGGGAGGCACATCTAGAACTTCATCATTTCTCTATCTGTGTACAGAAGTGATGCTTTGCAGTGAAACAAGTAGATCACAAAGCCAGTGGTTTTAAAGGTGACTCATTGTGGATAGCTGGGTTTTTTTAATCAACTTTTGAGAAATCTGAAGGTGCCTGGATTTTCAGATGTGTGCCCAGTACAGACTGAAAACCAGGCCTCTTTAAGGTATATCAAGTTGACCAGCCAAAAACTGAGGCACCTCAAAATCACTAATCACTTGCAAAAATCCCAAATGAACCAAGATGAGGAAGTGATCCTGAGACAGGTATGTTCACAAAGCTAAGAACTAGCTTGTGTGAATTCCTTCTCAGCTGTACACTTTATCCCCAAGATGGTGGCACTCAGAAAAACCACATTAATGTAAAGGTGGTTTTACACTGTAAGCAGGCCAAGTATGCTCTTCACTTCTGCTCTAAAGAAGGTCTCCTCAGTAGTGCAATTAAAAAAGGAATAGCAGGCCTATGCATGGAGCTGTCGGCTGGAGCCACCACACTTGCATTGCAGGTAGTTGGAGCTCATTAATAATGCAGAAGTCTTTGTTTTTCCATGAGCAGCCCAAGGGGGAGGCTTAGATATCCTTTTTCCTTCCTGGCTTTTCATTTGGGTCTGCTAAGTGCATGCATGAGAGATGCTGGCAACAACCAGTGCGCCGCCATGTACTATACGGTGTTTCGGCTGCAGAGACTTCTGAGTGGGAATCTTTTGTAAGTATTTGCTTTTTCCTGAGGTGGTGTCTTAGATTAAGAATGCAATCTGAGGTTACTTCTGGCATGACTAGGAACTCGGGTTGGATTTCTGCCCATGGTTATGGCTTACCCTAATAAAACTGCATTAGTCTGACTACCAGCATTGCCAAAAGTTTGGGAAACACTGAGGGTGGTTAGACTTGGTGCTTGCACTTGTGGTCACCAAAGAAAGCACTGATGGGAAATTCTTGAGTAAGTACAGGATGATGCACAAAAGCAGGCTCATCTTTGTTGTGGTAGTCATAGGATGTAGAATAATATTGAGATGGAGCTGAGATCACATTTGTCAATTAGAAAGATGCACCATAACGCCATGAGAGAGGCTCTGTGTGACACCATTAGTTCATTCATACGTGGATCCTAAGCCCTGAAGTTTGAGAAATACATACAAGCCATGTATTTTTAAGCTCCCTGCAGGAAGGTAATACAGCACCTGGTTGGTCTGTGTAAAAGGTTTTGTGAATGTTAAGAGCCAAGAGAATTCATATAGACACACTGCGGCTTTTTAAAACTGATTACTTTCATCCCTGCAGCCGTGAAGGACCACGTCGGCATCAAAAGGAGGGATGAGGATGGAGCACAAAATCCCTCTGCTGCAGTCCATGAGGAAGGGGCTTGGTGACCTGTTAGAAGGCCCTTTTGGCCTAAACAAGTCTGATTAAAAATACCAAAGGCAAAACCACCACTTAAAACTGGTTGATGCCATGGAACAAACCTGAGATGCCCGTTTTAATTAACACTTGAACATAGGTGTTTGCTTGAACTTTTTTGGCAATAATATACATATCCTTTATTGCAAATGATATTGTGTTCCCTTCTCTTTGTGGATGGACATTCCCATAAATATGATGCCTTTCTATTACTTATTGAACCTCTTGATTTAATATTTCCTATTTCATGATATCTACATGATGAAATGCTTCTGAGATCCATTACTCATTTCAACTGTGTGAGGTGCACAATCATTTCAGGGAAGCATTGTCCACCAGGTCCCATGACTTAAATATCCTCTACATAAAGTAGATTTAGCCTTTGACATTGAGGATATTCCTGGCAGTTAGTGATACTGAAGATTTGTATTAATTTGCAGCTGGAAGTCAGAAGCTTCTCTAATCAAATCCAACTTTAAATTGACACTTTAGAAAGGACCCCTAAACTAGAATTACAGACTAATTCTCTTCTATAATTTCCCCTGTATAGATGTGATGCATTAGTTCTGAAATGGGCACTATGGTCAGATATAACTTCAAACTATTTTAAAAGGGATTGGGGGAAGGGTACTGGGGACTTTTACCACTCAGGAACTTGTACCAGTTGAGTCGATGTAATTATTTTGTTGGTCAATCTACAGGTGTAATGGGGCTAAACTGCTGAAACTTGAAACCTGAATTAAACAGATTTAAAATTACTGCAGCTTAGCTTCCTTTTGGAGTGGGATAAAGCAGACAGAGGTGGTGATTGCAGTAGATCATCTGTGACCTTCAGTAACTGTATACCACTTTGAACTGTTTGTCCACATCTGGAGCTGTATTTTATTTTAGAAGGAAACCGACTTGGCAGTTTCAGGAGTTCTAAGTTCTTTCACAAATCCAATCCCTTGTGTTGATATGCAGTTTTCTTGTACTTGGAGCATGGCTTAAGGAGCTTTGTGTGCATTGATGGCTAGGCATGCCATGTCATGAGCGCATAGGCATTACTGGCACCTTGTTTGCTCCAAATCCACCCACAGCACAGACCTCAAAATGGCAGTTGGCTGGTTTATGCTCTGTTCTGTCCTGAGACCTGTGTCTGGGGAGACGGGGCAATGAGCAGGATGCCAGCGAGCCTGCCTTGGCTCGTCCAGTCATTAAACATTCAGTACAGTATCTGCGTTAAATATGCATGGGGCTAAGACAAATGTGTAACCCTTGCACTGCCAGCAGCATTTGCCCATGTCTTCCCTGAGCTCGTCAGAGTTGGCACCGTGTTCAGTTTCCCTGTCTGCTCCTGCCATGGTTCCCTGAGCACGTCCAGTGCCGCGTGAACTCTCGTGGCCCAGAAAAACGCTCTCTGGAAGGTTGCACGCCATTTTCCCAGTGTTTGTGTTGGAAGGGTTAAATGGAAGGCTGCAGGGAGAATGCAACCTGCGCCGCCACCACTGAACTCTGCACCAGTGCTGAGCCCTTGCGGCTCTCCCTCTGGCCTGGTTCCTTGAATTGGAATGTGGCACATAATTGGCGCGACCTTGAGCATGAAGCCGTTTGCTGTCAAGACAATCTTGGGCTTTTTACTTGGAAACATTTTTGTACAGAAAAGGGCTGGATGTCCAACTGAATCATTTATAGGAAGGGAAAAGTAGACTGGCTGAAGCATTGTGATTACAGCAGCATTCTGCTGAAAAGGAGGTCAGCAAGTGATGGGTACGGAAGTGATGTGTTCTTCAGGTCGTCGTTGCAATCGCATATAAAAGAGCCGCCGCTACCCTCTGTCTCTGGAAAAACTGAACTGGGACTCAGAGCTCTACCTCCTCCTGGTCTCATGAAGCTAAACCTTAAGGCTCTCGCTGCCATTCCTGTACATCCATCCTTATGGGGTTTGTGTGAATTTTTAGTGGCGAGTTTAGCAAGTCTTCCGTTGATGGCCCAGCTATTCATGTATAGCGCCAAGAGTGGTTCTGATGCATGCAGAAGGCTCGTGAATAGAAATGTGTTGATGTGCACTGGCTTCCCTTCTCTTTAGGCTGCTGCATATTTCACTGCTCGGTGGTGAGCATTCTCAATAAGTTGAGATTTTTCAGATGTGAAAGTCACCCATGTTCCAGGGCAGTGAAGCAAACTGCTTAAGCAGAGTTTAGCCCCATTCTCAACAGAGGCTTGTTATGCTACAGATCACCTTCAGTTGTTTAGTAAGATTGTTTACCTGGATTTTTTTTCCTGATTTAACTCCTGTAATTTCATCTGCATGGAACGCAGAGATGAGGGAGGTTATTTGCTCTGAAAAATTTCAGGTGAAATCTGGTTAAAACATTTCTGTATGAATCTCGCTAGGGGGAGCCTAGATCCTACTTTTCTGTAGTTCTTCCATTTCAGGCAAGATTGTTAATGATAGAGGAGACATTAGAACCTAAACAGATTTCCTATGTCCATCTTGCTCATTTGTAAAATAACGTTTGTCTGTTAACCATTAATATTGCTGGGCAAGAAATGTCTTTTTTTTATTAGCCATTTCTGTTTCTCATTTCTTTGGCTTGTTAAAGTCATAGTAAAGCTCTCAGCAACTTCTAGCCCTTGGAAACCCAATTTAAATCAGCAGGAGGTCAAGTCTGGTCTTGGCATAGTCTGTACTGGTAAGCCATTACAGTATTTAGCAACCTCAGCAGAGAGATCCAAGTGAGACAGCTGATGGATTCTCTTTAAAAGCTTTTCTGTGTATCCTTTTACTGTGGCACCTAAACACCCACGTCCATTTGTTGAACTCATCAGTGCTTCTGGGAAGCAAGGGTAACTCGTGGCCCTGTTTTACACATAGGATAACCGGGGCACCAATAGATGGATTTGCCCAAGGTCATCCAGAGGGTCTGTAATTTCCTGATTGCAGCACATTAACTACAGGCTACTGGGTCAGGGAATTTTCCTTGGTCCTTCCCGGGTGTAGAAGTTTGACTGAGATGCACAGGTAGCTTTGGGACTTAGAGGCCTTATGTGTCAGGTTAGAACTGCACTAGCAGAGCTAGGTGGCCAGACTTGTACAAGCCTATTCCTGCATTAGCAGCTTAACGAAAGCATCTGACACAAAAAAAGAAGCTGTAGAGGCAGGCTTTGAGATGTTAATCTCATCAAATAAGCATCTCTGCCCCAAGCAAGAGAGTGTTGAAGTGGATAATTGATTATATGAATTTGATCAGGTCTAATGCTTTGATTCTCACAGTAGATGGGAAACACCTTGTGAGCTATGCAGAAGTTGTAGGTACCTGCGTCTTGTATGTGAAAAGTTTATTATTTTCCTTGAAAGGAGTTGTTGTCATGAACTAATGTGCTGCTTCTAATTCAGATCAGCCAGAAGAAGCTGAAGAAATATGAAAAAGAATATCATACCATGAGGGAGCAACAAGCACAACAGGAGGATCCTATAGAGAGGTTTGAGGTAATGCCCATCTGGTCACGCTTGGTGTCATGCATGGTTTCCACTTTGACCTGCTCTTTCGTGCCCTGAAAATATTTTGAGTTAATTTATTATCTGTCTGTTTCCTGGGAGCTCCAGCTTCTCACTTCCGGTTATGACAGAGTGATTTTGTTTAGGGAAATGCAGTTTCATGAAGTCCCCAGTTCCTTTGTCTCTTTACACCTCTCATTTTACTATACACTGCTTAGTAAACTGCACACAGATTTCATTACAAACCAAGGAGGGAAGCATTTGGTAAGCATGTGATGTACCCCACATCCCTGCTCTTCAAAAGCCTTGTGACTCAGTGAGCTTCCTTGTACCACTGTCCCAAGGTTAATTTTTTTCTACTTTATTTTATATTCACAATATGGTTAACTGTTTGTTGCCACAATAGTGCACTCACAGAGAACTGTAAGGGTAGGTGTTTGAGCAGAGAGGAACACAAGGAGCAGTGTTCACTCTCCTCTAAACCTCTTAAGATGATTTTTTTTTTTTGTGAACTCTGGCTTTTTGTTTCCCACAGCGAGAGAACCGGCGTCTGCAAGAAGCAAACATGAGGCTCGAGCAAGAAAATGATGACCTTGCACATGAACTGGTCACCAGCAAGATCGCACTTCGAAAGGACTTGGATAACGTAAGACATTTCTGTGCACTGGGGTAGAAATAATACTCAGGCTTAATTTCTACCTATTCATCCTGTTTAAATCCTTTATTTTTTCTCTGAAGGGGTCTGTAGGTAGATCATGTCTTGCATCTTCCATTAACAGGATTGATAAGCCTTACATTCTTACTGTACTGTGAGGTATTTTCCCATTTATCTTTTGCCTCCAACCCTCTGCCCGTGTGTTTTATATTTGAACTGGTCCTACCTGGGCCTGTGATCCTGTCAGGTACCGTAGGTCGGGTAGGAGCAGGCTTAGGCATTAGCCGGATTAGGTTTCTTTATGGGGTATTCATCCTGCTGCAGAAGGTGGTTCTGTGGACTAAGTGGGGGGGGAATCTTTCCTCTGTGTCACGTCCATATCAGTTATGATACCAGGCAGTGCTGTGCTCACAGTGGTCCCTTTAAAGGAAACACAGATCTCCAAAAGAGACCACAGTAATCTGAGGAAGAAAATCAGTCTTGGCCTCTCCATCCTGCGTGGGTACTTGCATTCTAACTTCTGAAATTGTCTTGACACTTGCAAATGGGAGTCTTGTTTCCTGCTTTAGGTACTAGTTGGACAGTTGCTGCTGCAGGTTGGCTCCTGCTTGGGCCACACCAGCAACCTGTAGAACAATCCCTATGTTTATTGACTTGCAAAGCTCACGTGTCTCATGCAGGATGCAGGTGCTTCTTTAGCACTGTTGTCCTAGCGGTTCGAAACAGAAAGTGTAGCTGGAAGGTAGAACACCCACTTCCTGACCCGTGTAGTGGTAATGTGGATCCTGTTATCTGTGATTTTCCTGTAGCCATTTATTTTGTGTATGTGGGCAGAGTTTTTTGAAGTGCCCAAATGACTTGAGAGCGTGCATCACTTGGACTTTTCAGAGGACTTGGGTACTCTTGACAATGTCCACTTGTGTTATTTGCTGCTCACTCTAGTTATCCATGTGGACTGAATTTCTTGTCTCGTCCCCTTCCTGCACCCGCCTTCTGCTTTTTTTGGCAATCGCGTAGGTCATTTCCTATATCAAATGCTTTCTAAAGGGAAATGCACTGGAGGGTACGTTCTTGTACTGATCAAGTATTTACATGCATGTTAAGATGAAAGAATATCCCTGAAGCAAAAAGTTTTTGTCTTCAAAGATTTACTATGGAGCAACAGTTTTATAAGACTTTACAGCAGGTGCATTAGTTCTGTTTGTATTGCACAAGTCTTTCCTTACTGTCTCTTGCCTCGCTTTGGAGATGCGCATCTGGGGAGTCTTAGTAGGGAGTGCTTTTGTGCAGGATACACAAGGGCTTGAAAGATTGGCTTTGGCAGTACATGTGAAAGGACAAAATGAACTAACCCAACCCACTTGGGGGTGCATGGGAGAGAGCTGAAGTGCTGTGTGTCAGGCTCTTCTTGTTCTAAACCAGCATGCACGCACTTCTGAAATCTCAGAGGAAGCTGGCTTTGGGGAACCGTAGAACCAAGAA